AAAACTAAAAAAGCCTGCCTCGGACTATTACCATTTCTATTCGAATAATGCATTTTAACCCAGCCGGAAATAAATTTCGATTTTGGACAGGCGCTGTTCAGACTTGCTTTCTTCCGTCTAACGCCCGACAAGGAAAACTATCGAGACGCTAGACACAAAGGTAACGTTCGCTCTAAACAGCCACTGTTCAGTGATTCTGAACAGCCTCCGTCTAATGAACAGTCGAATTACTAATCAGAATTCCCATACAGGCCCTCTGAAGATATTATTCATATACATATATGACCATTCCTACATTTATGAACAAAGTCTATCTCGAAACTTTAGCTAGCCGAGAATGCATTGTTCAGAAGAGGCATTTTCTTGTAAATCTAAATAGCCCCTTCCTTCTTCGCTTTATTTTGAAGGTCCTCTTTTGAGCTATGGTGCAGTATGAGAAATAGAATCTCTGATTCGGAAATCGCCTCAAGCCCAGAAGTATTTATCTTAGTTAGAAATTTCCTTGCCAAAACCTTCTCAGGTGTGTTAGACTATACCCTGGTGTGGCCAATTTGAAAAATATACTTAGCACCTGCATTGAATACCCAAGTCATAAGCACTGTTAGAGATTGCCATTGTTGAGAGAATCTCGCAAGAGCAAATATATGAAGTTCGAACATATATAAATCAGTGCAATTTCTTCTGAACCCAGTGCAATAAATTTCTATTACAGATTAATCAGGTTTAAAATAAATACCTATCGTCTTTATAGATTACCATTGTATCGCAGTCGCTTGCCAGAGCTTGTCCTGGTGGTGACAAAAAAATCATTGCCGTGTATATTTAAGCAGCACTTGGATCAGTTGCCCAAGTCAAGGTGTTGAGTGCTAGACCTAGTCCGGGAACTAAGATAAATCACTTTTTTCGACAGAATCTCTCCAGCTGCAGAAATGTAAATCTCTGATGAGTTCTTGTATGCTACAGCCAGTTTAACCACTGGTACAGAAAGTTTAGTAAAAAGTATCTCAGTTAAGAAAAACTTCCCAACACCAAAAAAGAGTGTCTCAAATGGAAACTATTATACTGGAGTCAGTCCAGGCTCTATCAATTTTCTAAATTTTTTTTTTTTTGTTATGTCAGTTAGACTAGGAGATGAAATTGGGTTTCTGCTTCCATGCCACAATAGTGAAACGAGTCGTCTGCACCAATTCACTGGGTGCTCATAAGGGACCTCAGCCTGCAGTAACCTGTTTTAAATCTTAGGTTTTTCTTTTGGAGGGTAGCTAGTTTCCTAAAACTCTTGAGGTTGTAGCTTCCGAAAAGTTCTTACGCCTGCCTTGGTACACACGTGTTCTCCCAACCTGCTCTTCTCAGCTGACGTTCTTCTGCTCGTAACTCTTCCATGATGGTATGAGGTCTAACTGTGAGGAAGGGTTCTGTTCTGTTGCTAGTCTGTCAGCCATTTCGTTGCTCTGTTTGCCTTTATGACTCGGTACCCATTGCAGGGTGTTAAATCTGGCCACATATTCCTATACTACACGTGATTTGATTTCACACGAGGAAATGGCTTTTAGCGTAGCCTGATTGTCCCTGTAGATGACAGTGTGCTGTCTCCTTAAATGTGTCTGCAGAATTATTTCAGCACAAACACTCCGCTTAAAAGATGCGAGGATAATTCCTCAAGGGAATAGATATCTTGACCTCTGCGACGTATATTCCTGCCCCAATACCGTCGTCTGTTTTTTAGCCGTTAGTAAACCACTTTTGGTATTTGACTGAAAGCGTGTTGTCTTCAATTGCCTCATTCCAGGTCGCTTTGCTACCTAGTTCAATCTCGAACTTTTTCTCAAAGGTCGTTGTCTTACCATGTTGGCTCTGTTGAGCTCGGAGATAGGACTTGAGGATGCTCTGATTTCCTCTTCCAATCTGTTAGCAAATCGCCTTACCCTTGCCAATTCCCTCTCTCATAAGGTGGAGTAGGGCTTTCTTAGCAGTCTCATTTATTAATGTGTGTAGTGGCTTCAGATCTAGAATGATGTAACTTAGGTTATAGTTACGATGACCATATTTATGGGAGCTGCATACGGAAAAAAAAAATAATTTTGCAAATTTTTTCCACAAAAACTTACAGATCTTAAAGCCTTCTTCAATGATCCTAGATGTATTCGACCTGAAACAGCATCTTTGTAGTAACATCACAACTTTGTAGGAAATTTGTCTCGCAAAATTTGTTAAGAAAAAAATCGTTATATTTGGGAATAATAAAGTGCAATTTTGAAGTCACTTAGACTTACCATTAATTTTTTACGATTTTTTATTTTTTTTTTTGTTGACGATGTTGCGCATCTTTTTCATACAAAGTAAGAATGTTCGACCTTTTTTTTTTTAAGAAAAGCAAATGAGCAGCACGTTATTACATTTACTCAATTTTAATGAGGTACAAAACTGCAAACCAAATAAATAAATTGCCTGGACAATGGGTAAAAAAAGAGGACTGTCCCGTATAACACAGGACGGATGGTCACCGTAGTTATAGTGTATGTTCTAATGCGGCTCATAAGTGAAGACTATTTGAGATACCACTTTAGCTCGCAATTGATTACGCACATATACCTAGAAATATAACTAAATGGTAAGGTTAAGGAAGCGTTGGATGTCGCAGACATTCATCAATTATAACTCCGAAAGATCGTGGAGAAAATATTGATTCGAACATTGTCGTCTCCTTTTAACTAAGGCTGGGCACTGGGAGAGGTAGTGTCCGACTTTCTCCATTCCCTCTTCGTCCTTGCAGCTGTGGCAGTAGCCCCATTAAGCAGTTGCTAAAGATGTTCAATGGAACTCCCGATTTCCTAGCTTGGCCAGAAATACATATCTCGCTAATACACAAATACATAATGTATCTGTATTATTATTCTGAAAAGCATCGCACAGTGTAGGGTTTAGGAGTTTTGATTGACAAAGTCGTTAATCTCTCGATAGGAATAAGATAAAATATGGAAAAATATGGGTTCGAAAGCTGACCTAACGGCCTACAAGAGAAAAATATTGCCTTTATATAATCATTATACTCAACCCCCAAAAAATTTTCTTGAAAAATTAACTTTCGAAAAAAAAAAACAAGTAAGAAAGTCTAAGTTCGGGAGGAGCCGAACATTAAATACCCGGCGCAAGTATTAAATATATGTTTTCACCTTTACGAAACCTCCGTTACATGGTAAGCCGGGGTGCATCAATTTTGTGTAAATTAGCTCCTTAAATTTCAAAATATTGAAGTTTCAAGCTTTTCTGAAATTTTCCGTTATGTGAAAAGCGTAATTTTAGTCCGATTTCAATAATTTTTAACGCTTTGCTTTTATGTGACAAGCACAATAACCATACCGAATTTGGTAGAAATTGGTAGAACGGTTACCGAGATATATATATGTGAAATTTTATCATAACTGTATTTGTTGGTAAAGAATTGTTGCAAGCACCAATTGTGAATAAACTAGCTTTATTATTTACTGATTTATCGCAGATTTCGTATTTCTCTAAATTACCGTTATACGGCATGTGGGCGTGTTATTGTCCGATTTTAAAAAATTTCCGCCGTTTGGTATGCTGTACCAAGGCCAACAACTGTGCCAAGTTGGGAAGAAATTGGTGCAGCGGTTACCAAGATATACACATGTAACCATAAGGGGGCGTGGCCATGCCCATTTTCCAAAAATTTATAATATTCTGATTTTTGTCTAAAAGTTATCGTAAATATCAATTTTGAGTTAATAATCTTCAGGAGTTACTAGAATATCGCAGTTTTCGCGTTTCTAAAAATTACCGTTATATGGGAGGTACGCAGGGTTATTGTCCGATTTTGGCCATTTTCAATACCATCCGTCCTACACCCGAAAGAACTGTACGTACTAAGTTTCGTGAAGATATCTCAATGTTTACTCCTGTTGTAGTGTCAAGAGACTGACGGACGGACAGACAGTCACCGCTTAATCGGCTTCTGTTTTCATTTTGATCATTTATGTATACATTTGTCTATATCTATCTCGATACGTTTTACCTGCTACAAACAACCGTTATGTGAACAAAATTATAATACCATTGTGCACAAGTACGCTCGGGTATAAAAATAATACTTTGCTGACTAGCTCTAAAAAAAATCGATTTTTGATATAATTTTTTTTGGCTGGTTGCATTTTTTTCTTATAAAAAAGTGTGGAATATAATTTGTATGAAGCAAAATGCGTTAAAAAAATTTTCAAAAATCAACGCGATAATTTAACAACATAAGACTTGCATTTTATAACGTTATAAGGCTTTCACTAAATGAAAGAGATATACTAACTACTAATTTCAGAATTGACTGAACTTCCGCTGATCGATCTGATAATGTACAACCAGCTATAACGTGATCAAATGTCAAGTTCTCCTTCATTTTTACCTACATGTCTCTCGATTCTCAACTCAAAGATGTTTCCATGCTGTACCGCAGCAAAGCAATACTTTTTAAAGACATTTGTTGCAAGGCTATGAATTTTCGAAGAAGTGTACGCGCTGCTGGAAGAAGTGCATTTTTAATGCTCTTAATTTTCGTTCTCATCAAGAGAGTACCTAAAGGAGGAGTGGGCTGAATGTGTCGATATAAAAAATTATTCGTCAAACTTCAATTTATCAATGACCTATGCCACTTCTGGTCATGAAACTGGATATATTGTTGTTGTAACAGCATACAAATTCCCCAAATAGTTTTTGGGGAGTGTTGCTGGAGTGACAGTCCTTTGCCAGATATAAGTCTGGGTCGTTCCGGTTAAGTAGACCCGACTGACGCGTGAAAGATGAAGAGCCGTTTCGTTGAACATTATATCCTTTAAGCGGTACTCATAAACCTTTACACATATATGCATATGTACATATATATGAAGTTATAGCCTTTGGACTGGGTAATGTCAAAAACGTTGATTTAAATACGAACGAACTTTCAGCATATCCACTTAATATTCAATAGCCGGAGAAGTTTTTAATGCCTTATTGATTTTTATTAATATTTTTCTTTCGTACAATCAATAAAATGCAATCGCAAACATCTTAATTTTAATTTCGTACACAAATTGCGTACAAAATAGCTGTTTTGCATGAATGCAAATATAAATTTTGACAAGAAATTTTACAAAAAAACGAACACCACACACTTTGAATTCGTCGAATTAATATGTTACTAAGCCATATATTAAATGTACTTCTTATACAAATTTACACTTAGAAGTGAATACAATAAAACCCAAATATAGAAATTATAATCAATACACATATACCACAATACATATTAGCAATCAAAAGTCAGAACTAACCAGTGCCATGAAATAAAGAAACTTTAAAGTATTATAAGGAACAAAACACAAAATTAAAACTAGATCACAACTACAAAATGCTGAGTTATTTTGGCTTAAAAGTAGATTTTTTGTTTTAAGACTTTTAGATGACTACTGGCCAGTGAAGTAGCAATAATTCCCAAACAGATTTACATTTTATATAATATGTTATGTATAAATGCACAAGCGCATCGCTAGTTCAGTATTGTCTATAGTAATAACGTTTTTTGGTATGATGCAGTCATGTTTATTTACAAGCCCTTATTGAAGTATACTCGTTGCGGTAATTGACCGTTAGTGTTCACTTTCATTTCAGCATACTGATCAGACTCAAATAGTTTGATTGTGGACGTTTTCAAGGAACTGTAAAAAATAATTATTAAGTCTTTGTTAAAAAATTTACTTATTATATAGCGCACAAAACCGTACATACCAGTTCTGTGGGAAGAAAGCGCAAGCAGTGGGCACCATGAAGAGCAAGCTGTAAGTATACATTAAGTCAGAAACATTGAAAAGTTACATATTACTTGCTTCTTCTTCTTACAAGCATCCAACCATTATCGTCTGGAAGGGCGCATCAATCCAACGTATACGCCTATAGGCTGGTATTTTCTCCAAACGTTGCATTATGAACGGCAATATCAACATACCAGGCGCTGCCATGCTAATACGTGAAACAATCACCTGTGTAATACCTTTTACGGCAGCCAACCGACTACGTCCCACAATATTGCCATTCTCATCCTTCACCTCAACACCATTGATAATTTCATTTTGACGCATCAATGGAATATTAACGCAATTGGCAGCAGCAACAGCAGCAAATGGTACAAAACGCTGTAGCGAAAAGCAAGAAATATAAGTATTTTGCTTAGAATGAAAAAAGTAGATAGTACCTGAAACAGCGGACTTGCACGCTTAGACCAGTAGCTCTTACAGCCGAGTGCCGCCACTAACGCTGAAGTGGTAGCCGATACATATGCTACACCCAGTTGTGTAACTGTGGTTGGTGAATTAGCATTACGGTTTGTATAATTGACAATGGCGTTGAATGACTGATTGATGAATTGCCAGAGAATGACGGCAGGTATCGTGCGATAGAAGGCCAACATTCCTCCGGTTATAAGCATACCACCAGGAACCTGAGAATGCGAAATAGAAAGATTCGAAATTAGAGGATATATTTAATGAATAATAAGAGTATTTTTTTAACCTTAATCTCTAAAGCTAAAAATAAACAAGTTGAGCTAGTGACCTAGTCATGCTTTTGTTTATTTACAAATATAAATCCATCTACAAAATTCCTGCTCTTATCAGCAATACCGGCGGCCATTGGCAAGCTCAATGCAAGGGCAAGCAGTATATATATATGTCCAAGTTGGGCATGACTAAGCAGAGATAAAAAAATTTTTGGCACCCAAACGAAGGCACGTCACATAGCTGCCCAGCTGCACACTAACGTCACCATACGTTGACGGCACGAGCGCAGCGATAAACTTTAAATATACGACAAGGTATCAGCCGACTATTTGCAAGCACCAAAACATACACACATGCATATGTATGTACATAAATATCTAAGCATAAAAGCAAAATCAAAATAAAAATGTTTTCATTTAAGTATGTATGTACTTAAATTTGCTAGAAAACAGATGTGATTTAAAATGACTTTGATGTAATAGTGGCACGAGACAGTCGCACTGATTGCTAGTAGTTCGCTACCTATTGAAACTACGTATAAACAAGTTAGCCAATTAGTATTAGCCAATAAAATGAAATTAGCATAATAGAAATTTTACTGCAAATAAAAATGTGCAGCTCTTAATATTTTTTAATTATTTAAAACAGATGTGTAGTGCTCATTTAATTACCTGAAAACTCATGCGTCCGGCAACATTTTGTAGTTCGCCCGTATCTGGATGGAAGGCGGATGAATAAAGTTTCATGGCATATTTGACTTGCTCCTGCGTTGTACTATCTGGCTCTTGGCCTAAGCGATATTTTTCTACCAGCGTTTTTGCTTGCATTAAGCAGTCATTGGGTACAATAACAGTGCGCGGATCCGTCATCCATGCGAAATAACGAAAGCGACCAGCAAATGTACTTAGATCGAACAGCGGTTCATCCACATTAATCCGTCCTGTATAATTGTGTAAGAGAAATCGATAAGAAAAATTAAAATACGTAACATGTATACATATATTATATGTACATATGTACTTCAAAGCAAACAAATTATGCTCACCTAGTGATAAGGCCATATTTGTTTTATGAATTGCGAAAACGTCAATCTCGGGGATAACAGTTGAAATATTAATGGAATTGCGTAACGAAGATTTTTCGTTTAATACTGCTGCTGACAATGTATGAATACGCGTCGATGCACTAGAAAATTAAATGCAAATTATTTGTATGATACAGCTTGTTGGCATCAGTTAAGCAGCTGCACTGTGCTTTAAACACTTTTAATTTCTACGCTGTCTGGCAAATTTTTCTGTGTTTAATAGACATGTGCAAATAATTTGGCAACTAGCCAGCTGCGTCCCTCATACCTAAACCCTTATAAACAAGTATTAAAGCTTTGATTTATGTATGCTTTTACATAAATTATATTGCTTGACGTCACTATTTTTATTATTGCAAATTATTACAATTTCTATCTTATAATATGGCTTAAGATATGGAGGAATTATGAATGAAAAACCTCCACTTTTATCTCAAACAGATCACTTTTTGTTTACTTTCTTTCCTACTCTCTTTTGTTTTGACATGCGAAAAAATACCCAAAATGCGAATTGGTTTGGGTAATTTTTTTTTCGTCTTCCTCACAAACAGTGTTGTCGTTGCTCTTAATCAAAAGTATCGACTTTTTTGTGTTCAGTATTCACGTACCAATAAAAAAAAAATGCAGTAGAAAAGCTTATTTTCAATGGCCCGTAGTCATAGTCAAAATAAAGTCGACTTTAAAGTTAGTTGCAGCTTTTTGACATAATTTTCACTGGGATATCTGTCAAAAAAGCTGCAACTAACTTTAAAGTCGACTTTATTTTGACTATGACTACGGGCCATTGAATTTATGATACATTTATTTTTTGTTTCTTTTAAGCATTTTAATTTAAATCTCACATTCTTATGTGCAATTCATAGTATTCATACAAAACAATATTTCCAGGTCGCCAATACATTTTGAAAACATATTAGCTTCTTCCCTAACAATCCGGACCGGATCCGGTAATTAGAGAATAAGCGAAAAGTTTGCTCTCGAAAATGGAATATAATCCAGAAGTACGGGAACGCAAAAAACCATATTTCGTGTCCAAAATTTGAGAAACAGCTTATTCGCGTTTTTGTTTTTGTCACTTAAATGCAAACTCGTGGGAACTGAATTTTTGTTTCACAAATTTGACTTTAAAAATATAAAGATTGAAAATACATTCACTATTCCAAGTAAACGCAGGCAACATGTAAATACAAAACAGCTGATAAGCACAAGCAAAAAGAGCTCATAATTTTGAAAAGAGCTAAGAGCTAAAGCCCAATTTTCGGAGCTAAAAAGAGATATAAAGAGTTAAATCTATACCAGAAAATATGCGCTCTGCAGCGCAACCAATTAAAGATTAATGAAATCATTGGAGTTTTGTTCAATACATTTTTTTTAATACTATACCAAAAAAGTTCAATATCGTCGACAACCTTAATTTTACCGTCAAACTTTAACAATCGCCATTGCATTCATATTTTTTCTTTGTCGCTAATTTAGTGAGGAAGAATTTACGAAAGTAAATATTTATATGTAATATAGTATCCACACAAAATTCATCGAAAAAAAATTCATTTGGTTCCGAATGGATCAAAGCGGCCACATTGCTCACGAATGATAACCGGGTAGGGACCAAATGCATAATTGGGATTGCTTTGGGTGGGTTTGGGCCTATACGACCATAGTTGCCAACTTGTGCTTTAATCACTAGATTTAGAGCTTTTTGAAAATTAAAACACAAAAAGAAATTATTTAGTGCCTAGTGCCTTTTTTAGTGCTTTATTTCTGAACTAAAATTACTCCGATATAATTAAATCCTGAAATAATTTTTAAATATTTAAAGCTGTGGCAGCACTGAATTTACAAAAATCTACAAAGTTAAATGCACTTAAATACATCCATGGTTAATAAAAAGCTGAACTAGCACTACCACTATTTTTATTTTTCTACCTCCTGAGTAAAACACATCGTTCCTTGGTGGTGAATCCAAATCTGGCCGCACAATTGCTCTAGCACTAGAATTTTGAGATATCCTAACCTCAAAGTGCCAAACTCACTGATTTTGGCGATATTTGAGGTTATATAATGAACACATATTTTTTTTTTGCTCATTTCTACTTAGGGCATGATTTTTGGTTGTTGGGATTCGACTTTTCTTTCTTGAGATATATCAGTTTTAATGTGCATGTGGCTTTTCAATCGTTTTTCAATTCGTTATGAGCGAAAAAGTTTTGTTCATTGATGTATGTATGCATTCTTGTAAATATTGTTAATTTTTTGTTTTGAATGAAGCATCCATTGATTCGAAACCATTTGTTGCTTTTGGTGCGGTAAAACGCTTTTTTCCCCAAGTTTTTGGACCTTTTGAAAAACGGTAGTTGGCAACACTGTACACGCCCACCGGAGTGCCTCATGAACGAAAGACACATTTATTTTTGGTTCATGGGAGTGCCTTACAGTAGCTACACACGACGAGCATATCCGCGCACATGCGCACATGCTCGTCGTTTGTAGGGCGGTTTGCGCGCATGCTCGCCAAAAATCAAAAAATTTTGATTTTCAGCGAGCATGCTCGTCGTTTGTAGCGTGGTTTGCGAGCATCGCATTGGAAACAAAAACAACAACCTCATTTTGTGTTGATGCTTGCAGTGTGCACATCGCGGATAAATGCATCCAAGCCATGTGCGGTAATTGAATTTTTGATAAATGAGGGTAAATTACTATATGTATATGTATGTACATACATATAAGTAAAATATAAATACCCAGTGGGAATTAGGAGCACGTAATAATACCTTATTAGCAACTTACTCTTCACCTGGCAGTCATTACCATTTCCCTGCCGAACGTCCCTTACTTTTACAAAGGCATGGCCGCCTTATGTAAGTAGGAATTTAGAATGTACATTTGGTATCAGACATACTTCTGAGCCGCTTTACAAAGTAAGTTACGTGTAATGCAGAGCAGTCGCTCGGAGTAGTTCGGTGCTTGGAAATAACTTCGGCTGCACGTTATTTTGCAACTGACAACGTAATGTGTCTTCGGATGTGTTCATTTTGCCCTTTACTAGTAGATGACATTGGCCATGATGACAATTTTGGTACTAAGAACTGAAAGAAAACATGGCTTACATCGCAAGGTGCTTACCTATTTTCCCAGTGGGTCAATTTAAGTAACACATACATAAAAAACCCTAAGTCATAAGTATTTCAATTGCATCATCCGCGTCTTTCCTTTCCATGTTTACGCTTGAGTACAAAATCACTTCAGCCGCTCGCCGTTTGTAGCAAACGACAGCCAGCATGTTGGTGCACATGTGCGCGGATATGCTCGTCGTGTGTAGCTACTATTTTAGGCACCGCTTTTGCGTTAAGTTTAATGTGCCCATTTAAGTTTCTTGTCATTTTCTGCACTCTGTGAAGCAGCTGTTTTTGACATTCCCTTATTTATTGCCATTCGCGTTTACAATTTGTTTACATTCTGTTTCCTTTTATCTTCACTAGCGTCTGTTTGATTTTTTCGCAATTCACACTGCCATCATTAAGCAAAATTTTTTGCATTAATTAAAGAAAACATCGTGCATAAATACATATGATACATATGTACATATGTGCATATACGCAGGTCAGTGAATAGTAGTAACGAAGTACAAAAAATGTCCAAAGTTTGCTTTGGAATACGAAATAAAACAGCACGGAGTTGTATAGACTAGAGCACTGGAGTAACAACAGAGCAAGGGGCAAGTGGAAAAACGAGTGTATTTGGTGATACGCTGGGAGTAAGCATTTCAAATAGGAAGAGCGGTGTGCAATAAAGGTATCAATGCAATTTCGGTCGAGCGCACTATTCTGGATATATCAATATCTGCCACATAGAGCTTGAAAAACGAATACATCCGACTCAATAGGTACATCTTACCTTTAGTGCAGTGGCAAGAAACTAAGGACAAACGGTCATCGGCCTTATGCCGTCGTCTCAAGGCCTTTAATAATTTAATTAATGGCGAATTTCGTGACCACTTTGTCACTGCTTCATTTGCTAAGTGCTTTGCCATGTTTGGTATGCGGTGTAAATGTATTGACAGTTCTACCAAGTGTTTGGAAGTCACATTACCTGTTTGGACGACGGCTTCTGCAACAATTGGTGGAAACACAAACAAATTATTCGGTCACCTTGATAAGTCCACACGCTCAGGAATATCCAGTACAAAAAAATATACGCGAGATACATATTGAGGGACTGCTAGAAAATTGGGAGGAAACGGGGTTGCCTTTCGATGTAGAACAAGCGCGTCTAAGTTCAATTTTAGAACATTTTACGCGGCTAATGTACGCTGGGGCATCAAACGTAGATATACTGTTGGGTGATGAAAAATTTCGAAGACTTGTAAACAGCGGTGAAGAATTCGACTTGCTGGTGGTGGATCTCTTCCTAAGCGATTCGCTATTGTGGTAAGAATATTTTTCAAGTTACAACTATTTATATCTAAATTATGAGGTTTTGTTTCCATCGCAAGCTTGGCGCATTTCTATCAAATACCCACCGTAGTCATTAGTCCTACAGGCGCAAATACATGGTTAAATCAAATGATTGGAAATCCGCAAAGCTCAGCACTAGATCCTAGTATTTTCTTGCCTTATTCGGAGCGTATGAATATTTGGCAACGAAGCGTTAATACGCTAATGGGTGTATTCGAGAAGTTGACATACAAGTAAATGCAATTGTCATTTTTGTTTTGCGCATATTGCTAATTAAAGTAATTATATATTTCTATGTATATACGTAGCTTTTTTTACATGATCTCACACGAAGCCGTTTATAAAAAACACTTTCAAGCGCTCAACCATCTTGCCGATACGAATTTGCCACATCACCGTGATCTTACTAAAAATCTCAGTCTTGTTTTGATTAATTCACATCCTATTGTACAATATCCGCGTGCCTACTTGCCAAATGTTTTAGAGATTGCTGGGGCACATCTGCATGGAGTACCGCAGCAAATTGAACTGCCGGCGGTATGTAGAAAAATGGGATCGCATTTAAATAACAGATTTCAAGCCAATGCTTTCAATTTACTAGTAATATTATCAGTCTAATAACTTTTGTTTGAAATTACATAATATTTTTTATGCATATATGTGCATATGAATAAAAACTGTTTTATTTTCAGCATATTGCTTATTTCATAGAAACCGCACCAGCAGGTGCGGTGTACATAAGCCTGGGCGCAGATGCACGAACAGTCGACTTAGCACGTGAAAAGCTGGACGAACTTGTGGATGTAATGTCATATTTAACGAACTACAATTTCCTTCTAAAATGGGAGGACCGTACATTTTACACAGATTTACCTAAAAATGTCATGATAGCAGATTGGTGGCCCCAGGAAGCCATTTTAGGTGAGCTAGTTTTCGAAAATGTGACTAATGTTTTAATAAATATATCCTTATCCTCACAGCCCATCTCAAAGTTAAGGTGTTTATAA